CGTGGGATGATCGAGAGATCTGGGACTTGTGCTCCTTTAGGTACAAAGTCTCTCACAATAAGCTCGCCCGTTCCGCTGGCTGCCAGAAGTGGGACCCTATGCGTCTGCTGTACCTTCAGCAGGCATTGATGAACCACATCATGCTTGTCCTTGTTGTGCTCCTGAATGACTCGGTAGCCATAGATGGCAGCATGACCCCAAATTGGATCTGTGCAGACCTCTTTGAGGTAGTGCTTGAATTTGGCCAGCGGATTGTCGTAAAAGACATTGAAGGTGTCCTTGTTTGTGAGGCGGGCATCACATTCCAAAACAATTTCACTGACCGCAGCCAACGTGAGCGTGATGGAAGGTGTAGGCAGCTTGAAAGTGACCTCGGGTGTGAGTACCAGCAGGTGGACTTGCCTCTTGTACTCCTGGTTCAAGGCCGGGTCAAACACAATGACTTCGAAGGGACCTGTCAAATTGGCGATTTTTGCCAATGAGTCCATGGGATCGATCATTGGTAGCAACAAAGCACATGGCTCCTTCGGAACAACTTCACGAGCATGTTGTAAATTCCCTTTGGAAACGAAGGCAATCCCTCCTTTGTTGGTGGAGAGCTGCTGCTTTTGGACGAAAGGCACAGGCGTCTTGCTTTTGTCAACAAACGGGTGGTCAGCCTGGAGCTGGAGATCTTCCCATTTACTTTGTCTCACGGACTTCTTGTTGGACTTCCATGGGTCATCGAACTGCCATGGATCAGGAGAGACCATCGCAGCATCTGACGGCGTCGACCCTTCCATTCCTCCAAGAGAAAGTGCTGAGCATGGGTGCATCAATCGTTGCCCGCCAACCACCAAAAAGAGCCTCCTCATATTTTCAGCAAAGGTACGAAGCATAGGTGGAGCGCGTGCTACTCTCCATGCCAGATTGGATTCATCCAGGATCTGATCAATGAGCAGCCTCTTCTGTTGCGGAATATGGAAGGTGTCTGGCAACGACAAGTCCGCAACAATCCAGCGATGGAGTAGTTCCCAACCACACATACCAGGCCAAGTACGATTGGTATCGACTATGATAATTGGACGAAACCCAACTGGGACAATGAAGTCCTCAGCAAAAGTGGCCCAAAACTGTTGGTCCCGTGGTGGTACTTGCAGGAAGACCACTCGACATGTGTGTTCAGTGGCGTTGCAGATGACCTCGATGCCAATCCAGTGCCCTTCCCGAAGCGCAATGAACTTTTGAACTTCTTGAGAGAGGGGCTTGACACTGGCCGCAATGATGGACAAATCATGATGCAGCACCGGTGGACAAAAGGAGTCAGGCAAAAAGAATGTCATTGCAAATTCAAGTTCATCATTGGAAGCCCATCCAGGATGTGTCCTGTAAATATTCATTCTCATCTCCAACCATTCATCAGCAACAAAGAAGATCTCATTGATGTGATATTCGTAAGGAGGTCGTCCTGTGGCACGAAGCATCAAATCTTCTGCTCGACTCGGCGCTTCAAGGATGGCAACCAGGAATGCATTCCTACCCGCACGGGCAAATTGCAGCATTCGATCATCAACCTGAGAGTCCCTCCATACCAAGTCAGCCTGATCGATCACCTGCATCACGTGGTGGTTGTGCTGAACACGTTGCAGCCTTTGGGTGGTTCTATGGGTCTGAGGAAGAAGCGGCGCTCCTGCCCTGGCAAAGAAACCTCTGAGTGTGTACCACGAGGCCATGTCGGAGTCCTCAGCAGTACGTATCCACCGAAAAGCATTGGGCATCACTTGGATCCCCATGTAATGTATGAGCTCCAGCACCGCGTGACGTTGTCTGTGCGTCAATTGCTCAGGTGAATGATAGAGGACTCTCCATTGCCCTTCAAAGAACCTCACCTCGACGAAGATCCAGTCGAAGAGCACCAGGATCGGTACCACGAAGTGCTGAAAACATAGCAACAAGTCCGCAGGTTCGTGAGGGAATCGGAATTGAGCTTCATTGCTGATCCACATCGCAGGAGGGCACCAACAAATCGAAGGCATCAGAATTTGCAACACATCGAAGTGAAAGACAATCTCGTCTACTGCAAGTGCACCCGGCTCAAGGTTGAATTGGAGGAGCCTTTCAGTTATTCGGTCTCCATGGATATTGCAACTTGGATGGTCAGTGAGTCGGTCCATACCACCGAACACTATAGTGGAAGCTTGCTGCACCCGGACGTCACACCAAAGAAGATCCCCATTAATCAGCATCAATGGTTGTTCCTGTCGACACTGAACCAGATTACGTTGGATAATCTGACAATGCTGCTGGAGTTCAATTGCACACTGCGCAGGAGTGAGCCCACGTGGTACTTGGGTGATTTTACACCATTTGAGATCAGAGCCACCAGCCAACAGGACCCACTTGCTATTTGCAAGAGGGTCATACTCACCACGGATGGCAATGACCACCTGTATTCCCAACATGACTCGGCAAGCTTCTCGGTTGATTTGAAAGAAGTGGATCGGAGCTCCTTGAAAGCGAAAGGTTGGAATGCTGCCGATACGCTCCAGGTTCGCCATGTGAATCCATTCAAAAGAACCATCTTGTAAGAGGAATAGCACCTTACCAACATGTACCGGGTTGACATCTTGGCAAAGATGTTCAAGCACATGAAGGAACCCATTGCTATTGGTTTCAACCAAATGATCAAACTCCAGATCGGCCTCATCCAAGTGCCATGGTTGCGTGGGGGACACAATGGGGTCCTCGAGCTGATCTATACTGTTCACACAAATGACCCGCAGCGTTCCAAGGTCAGCTGAACCCAATCTGAGCTGAAAATCTCCATCTGACAACTTATTCCATCCAGTGCCCTTGGGAAGGTCTCGTCCATCTCGGGCGAGCTTGAGCTGTCCTACATGGTGCGATTCCAGCTGAAGAGCATGGAGTAATTGCTCAATGACGTTGCCATCCTTCTGAACATTGATTGGGATGAGAGCGGCATCATCACAAAAGCGAATCAGGGTGCTTCCAACTAGCCAAGGCTGCCATGTTCTGATGCTAGGAATGGCTTTGGCCGCAAAATCAGCAATGGGCTGGAGCACGTACATGTCACCGCAAGTACGAACAATGGCATTGTCGGAAGTCAACCTATCTTCCCAGCACTGGCGAACAAGCTTCAACTTGGGGATTTGTTCGTCTGAGACACCTTCAAGGGCAAAAAGAAAAGCTACCAAAGCATGCAGCTGTGAAATGGCATTCCCCAACTGATGAAAGGCACGTCGAATATCAGTTGGTAAGGCGATGCAATCAGTAGTCCCAAAGAGCGACACAAAGACAAAAGGGTCAATGAATTGGAAGTCAGCACCTCTATGCAAAAGTGCTGCAAAGATGCCTTTCTCCTCGACATGCTCACGTTGGAGACTATGCTGTGCTGTGTAGGAGGCACACAAAGTGGGCAGGTAATCACCCGGCGGTATTGCCCTGGAGGACAATACCTGCACAGCGGTTGCATTCTCACCAACTTTCGCTCGCTTGGCCGGCGGAAGGAATTTTTTGTCCCCATAGATCATAGTCAGTTCACTTGGCAAAGTGAGGTCAGAATACAAGGCTTCGGGTAAGCCAAAGAGGTGTAGTGCATCATCCCATGCTAACCTTCTTTGCTGATGACACAAGATCCTCTCGTGGGACTTTTGGCATTTCACATCCTTTCGAGCCCAGACGGCCAGCCAGCGGGTCCTGTGGTTACCGGTAAGTTGATGGATGGCTACATCTTGTGACCACAACTTGACATATCCTGCGAGCTGAAGTCCGGCAGTAAGCGCACGCCAATGGGGGTGCGCTTCAATACCATCGGAGCATTCGAACAATGCCAAAACAGGCCTGCTGCGAGCAACATGCTGAATTGCATCGAGGAAAAGGAAGCCTTCCTCAGTCGCAAGTCCTGAGTTTTTGCCACCTTTGCTCCAGCTGGGGCAAGGAGGTGATAAGGTAAGCGCCAGGTTGGACTTGTTTGTTGTAGCACGCAGGATTGATGGGTCACAAATATTTGCCAAAATCCCATTGTATGTATCAGCAGGATTATAAGTCTCCTTGATCGGTCCACGCCAGAATTCTTTGTTGTGATTGTAGGCCCACGTTTTCATGACATCCGGGCACCAATCAATGGAGGTGTGAGTTGCAAAGGCCTGTCCCACATTGGCATGCTGCAACCAGCACATCGATCTCAACCAGCCTTCGTACGCCCCTGAAAACAGGTGAGAGACGTTCCAAGCGAGATTCAGGTCTAGCATCGAGATGTTCCAAATCAGCACGTGCTCATCGGCTGTCACTTTGCCAACAGTCTGTCTGTGGGAGGGCTTCGTGAGGAGGCCCAAGAACATTCCAGGTGTGAAGTCAACACGGGCATGATCTGCTTGACAGCAGACCTCAAATTGTTTCCAGCCATCATTGGCCAGCGAATCATCTTGAAAGAGCATGGAGGTTCGGCGCACTTGTACACATTTGGGTGGACCACAATGTACCAGTACGACTTCACCAAAAAGGATCCACTCAGCAAGGTCGTCTTCACATGTACCTGTGGCAGCTATGGCCTTCAACGCGTCTTGGACTGACACGGCCAAGGACGAAGGCAGGCTCGCAGTGGCCCAGTGTATCAACGCTCTATCGACATGTAGCTCATGCTTTGAACCCATGTCCTTAGTACCCATGGCACTGCCGAGCTTGGGGCAGCTCAGCTCTGTAGACGCAAGACCCCTCGTGAGGAGAGGTGGCCTTGCCGCAGCGCGTGCCGGCGCGTAAGCTGAGTGGGCTTGATCCAAACAGCTCTGGGGGAGCTTCTTTGAAGAAGCGTGAGCTATCCTGCATCCTACCTACAGAAGCTTAGTTAAGCTACTGCCTGCCCCTCTTCTAGTGGCCTACACCCCGGGGCTTACAAAAAATAGGAGAAGGTCAGAAGTCAGAAGGACACACTAGTAAAAATAACAAGGAGAAAAGACCACAGAAAAACACAAAGCAATCATCCTTCAAATGATAACCTTCAGGTTAGCACTACTCGACGAGAAAATCGAGCTGCTCAAGTGCGCGTCTACGTGCGATTTCGGTCAAAGATGGCTGATCAGTTCGATTTCTTTTCGATTTCTAAAATGCCATTTTCAGCCACAAGAAGCTACGAACGGAACAAAGGGCTCTCGGCATTTTCCGTTGATCAGGCAAAAGTCGCCACAAGACAACATCGCCAAGAAGCCACGGCCCAATTTGCTGAACCAGTGCCTGTCGGTTGTTTACGTGAGCATGGTGTTGTGCAACATATGTCGGGTCATAGCATTTCGTCCCGTTTCAGGCTCATTGAAGAGTTGGAAGCTGTTCGTTTTGCTGAAGTCGAAGGAGAGAAAGCTCCACAGTTAAAGGCCGATCACACAGATTTTGCGAAGATGTTTGCACGCTTGCTAGTAGGTTGGAGGCCATCGCCATTAGGTTGGATGCCATTGCTAGTAGGTTGAAGACGGTGTGCATAGACGTGAGATTGCCATAGCTGCTTGCTTTGAAGGCCTCAAAGCAGCAGCAGCGAGGGCCGGACCCTGAAGGGCTGTCACCGTACAAGCCATAGAGAGAATGTCAAAAGACTTGTGCGTTTCGAGGTCGTTCACAGTCGATGAAAGATTCCAGGATTGTTTTCTACAGAGCGGGAAAGAAATAAAATTCTATGCATGAATGATCATAAATTCGATGAAGGATTGACATGTTGTATAGTTTTGGTGTATACTTGGCTCATTTTGCAGTCGGAGCAAAGGTCTCCGCAGATCTGACAATGAATTTTGAACAATTTTCCTCCAACCTAATAGCGTCCTTGCTCCTAGTAGCGATGCCCTTTGCTCCTAGTAGCTTCTTGCTCCTAGTAGTAAGGCCAGGAGCCCCTAGTAGCATCCTTGCTCCTACTAATAGTGATGGCTTCCAACCCAAGAGCAATTTTCCTTTTCTTTTGTCTTTGTTTCTACTCGCGATGGCCTCCACCCTAGTCGCGATGGCCTGCAACCTATGAGTCTGCCGTTTGTGGAGCCTTCTCACTTAGCTGCAGGATTTTATCAGAGCCTTGTGCTCAGTGAGGAAGAAAACGAGGAAGGAACTGTGGCCACATGCTACAGCTTTGGTGCTCAGCGCAATTCCCTACAATGCATTTTTACACCTTCAGAGGGACAGGCCCAAGAATTGGAAGCTCCAGGTTCGTCTGGAAAAGGTTCAGGTTATCAAGCTGAGCCGTTTGTATTGGAACAGTTTAAAGATATGAACATCGTTCAAGTGAGTTGCGGTGGCAATCACAGTTGTGTGTTGGAAAAACGTCCCGGTGAAGACGGTGGCGACGTGTGGATTTGGGGCCTTGGGAATGGTGGCCGTCTTGGTCTTGAACGTCCCAAAAGCAAAAGCCAACTTCAAGAGATTCTTCAAAACCAAACGACGAAGTCGTCTTCAAACGTCAACGACATGGCCGAGTTCTTGAGCAACAAGAGCTTCGTTCAATCCTTGACGCGGAACGCGTCGAGCAAGAAATGGAGTTTGCATAAGGCAGTCAAGGTGAAGTTTGGGGCCAAAATCGCATCCATCAGCTGTGGAACAGACTACACGTTGGCCTTAAGCGAAGATGGGCGAATCTATGCCTGGGGAATCGGCAGCTATGGGAATCTGGGTACGGGAAAGATTTGTGATCAGTGGAGCCCCGCTTTGGTGCAGATGCCGCAAGACCAGCTTTGTTGTCAAGTTGCAGCTGGCACCAAGCACTCGATGGCCTTGAGCACACAAGGTTAAGACGTTAAGAAAGGCTGTGAGAGAAAGGCCTAACGCAGATTCTCGTAGAATGAGACAGGGGACAATCTGAGACTAGGACTCCAGAAAGGCAAAGAACCATCACGTGTCCACATGTGTCATCCCTGACGTAAACATGACGTGTATATTTTTGTTTCAGCAAATATACATCTCTCTTTTCACGCCCCTTCACTGCAATTCCTATTAGGTTAGTAGCAAGAAGCTGTTAGGTTGGAGGCCATCGCTAGTAGGGTGGAGGCCATCGCTACTAGTAACAAGGGCATTACTAGTAGCAAGAAGCTACGAACGGAGCGAAAGGCATCGCTACTAGGGACTGGGACTCCTGGCCTTACTACGCACGTAGCAATGCGCTGCGCACCCCTGTAGGTGAAATGTTTTCGTGGGGTCATGGTGGCCATGGACGTTTAGGCCACGGTGTCGGTTGCGAAGCGGCCTTATGTCCAACCAAGATTGTGCCGTCGTCGGGCACAGCGCTGCGCTTTCGCTTCGTGGCCGTCGGGGAAGCCCATTCAGCTGCCATTGACTCCTTGGGGCAAGTGTGGTGCTGGGGAGCTGGATCGTTTGGACGTTGTGGCCATGGAGAAGAAGCAGACTTTTTGAGTCCCAAGATCGTGACGCAAATGATTGGGAAGAGTTGCAGTTCGATCGCCTTAGGTGTTTGTCATTCCTTGGCGTTAACTCTTCGTGGACGTATTTGGAGTTGGGGAGGCTTTCTGTACACTGGCCATGGAGAAAATGATGATATCGAAAGCGCTCGGGAGTTGGATGATGATGAATTAAAAAATGCGTTTATCGTTGAAATTGCAGCAGGTCGATTTCATTCCCTGGCTTTGAGCTCTTCAGGTGACCTTTTTTCTTGGGGCTCTGGAAGTCTGGGACGTTTGGGTCTTGGCAATTCGTTGGCCAGTGACCTGAAAACCAGCGATCAGCCAACACCTATACAGATCTATCGAAATGGGCAGCCCCTTCTGGGTGGCAGCTCCAAGACCAAAGGGCCAAAAGACAGCCGCCTCTCAGAGCATGGAGATTTGTACAGCCAGCTGCAGATTGCATGCCGAGGTATGCATTCAGCTACCGTTGAGAAGGATTCGTGCTGGCTTTGGGGTCATGGCGAGTATGGTCAGAATGGCAACAACGTTGGGGATCTGTGGAAGCCAACGTTGTTGAGTGCCATTGATCCCATTTCGAGATTAAAAATCAAAGTGCACACGGTCGCTTTGGGCATGGAACATTGTTTGATGATTTCAACAAATTGGGAGCTTTACAGCTGGGGAAGGAGTGATGAATGGTTTCTTTGTGATGTTGTTTTGTTTCTAATGTGAACCAATGGTGGCCTCCAACCTACTAGTGATAGCCTCCAACCTAACTAGTTTTAAACCTTTCACTTTTCTTGTGTTTATTTTTCCGATGTTTCATTATTTTTTTTGGGAAGGAATCATCGTGGTCAGCTTGGCCTTGGCACCACCAGCGATACGTCGGAGCCGACCTTCGTGGCGGCGTTGCCCAAAACGGTCTCCGTCGCCTGTGGTGAAGACCATTCGGCCGGAATTACTCCCGGAGGCGAGGTTTTCACCTGGGGCAATGCTGAGAGTGGAAAGCTTGGTCATGGCTCCAGCATGATCCGAAGCGCTATGAGTTTCCCCAAGCAGATCAATATGGAAGCGAGAGTGAGGACAGTTCGCACTGGCCAAAACCATACAGCTCTGATTGGCAACAATGGAGAACTTCTCACATTTGGCGCAGGCTGGTTCGGACGGCTGGGCCACGGTGATATGCACAACCAGTATACGCCGAAGCTTGTGGAGCATGTCTTAACTGATTTAAGTGCTGCCTTGAAGGAATCCCCACGTTTTCTTGAGGTCACTTGTGGATCGTTTCACACTTGTGCCGTTTGTGAAGACCAACGTCACTTGTGGGTCTTCGGACGGGACTACCTTGTTTCTGAAGCAGACCACATCACATCTCCGCTGCTCTTCCGCCAGCTTGGACCCGATGAGGAAGTGGTCACCGTGGCAACTGGCGCAAACCACACGTTGTGTGTCACTCGAAAGGGGCAAATGAAAAAGTTATGGGGCTGGGGAGACAACAGCAAAGGTCAACTGGGCCTGGGCTTGGGTGCCCCAGAGCAGGTTCCACCGACGCTGATCCATTGCAAAGGATGGGGCACGCCGGGCGTCGGATCCAGAAGCCGATCCGAAGCCGAAGGAACTCAGAGCGACACTCGCGAGACTCGCGCTCCATCACTGATGGGTATCTCTTGTGGATATGCCCATTCAATGGCCGTGACGGATGCTGGCGAAGTTTGGGCCTGGGGTCTACAAAGTGGTGGACGCTTGGCTCTAAAGACTCCCTTCGAGGGCAAGACCTGCCCGATCCCACAACGAGTTCATCCTTCCTGGAAGGAAAGGCCACCTGCAAGCAGCGTCAGTTGAAAAAGACGTTTGAGGAGCCCTGCTTGTAAACTTGAACATACGAGCTCATGACTCATGACCGAAACGAACACAAGACCTGCAGAAAAGAAGGATTTGTTCAGCACTAGCCTTAATCGAGGTGAAAGTTCCCTCAAAGCATGCATATAGCGTCCTAGGAGCAAGGACGCTACTACGTAGCGGCTCCTGGCCATACTACTAGGAGCAAGAGGACGCTACATTCGGAACAAAGGGCATCGCTACGAACGGAGCGATCGGACGCTACTCATAGCTTCTTGCTCCTAGCAGTAAGGCCAGGAGCCCCTAGTAGCTTCTTGTTACTACTAGTAAGGCACCTGTTACTAGAAGAGATGCACTTGTTACTAGTAGCATATCGATACATACCGTGCTTGCGCCCAAAACATCGGTCGTGAAGCCTCTGGAACGACAAGCGGCACACACAGAAGCTACTAGTAACAAGTGCCTTACTAGTAGTAACAAGGACGCTAGTAGTAACAAGAATTAGAATTATATAAATTAATTAGAACTGTAACTAAATTAGAAGCAGCACACACCAACGGGAGGAGATCCCAGATCCACCCAGGCTCGACTGCAACTTGTGGTGAATGAAGTAGCGATGCCCTTTGTTCCGAACGTAGCCTCCGATCGCTCCTAGTAGCGATGCCAGGAGCCCCTAGTAGCGATGCCCTGTGAAGCCTACGTTTCACAACAAAAACTCCACAAATGAAGACTTAGCAGTCTCCGCATATCCCCCAGAAGCCAATAGTAACTTACTAGTAGTAACAATTGCCTTACTAGTAGTAACAAGTGCTTTACTAGTAGTAACAAGAAGCTAGTAGAAACAAGAATTAGAATTAATTAGAATAGAATTAAACTAGACTTAGCAGTCTCCGCATATCCCCCTTCACCACTTTCTGGGAAACAACATGCCGTGTCTCCTTTCTGCTCTTAATTCCATGACCAACCGTGAGCAGACTGTGAAGAACTGTCATTAACGGAACTTCGCAACCTACTAGCGACGTGCTCCAACCTACAAGCAATGGCCTCCAACCTAATAGCGATGGCCTCTAACCCATCAATGGAACTTCGCCAACGTCGCACCTCCTCATTCAAGACAACATCAGGGCGAAGCGAACGGGCTATGCAATAAGTAGTAGAAGTATGTGGATTGCCGTTCTCAGAGCTTCGTGGAGGTCTTTGGGGTTCGTGCTAACCCTGCGGAGCGCGTAGATGATTTCGACCGTTCGTGGAAGACTTCTTGTGCTGCCCGAGGGTTCGTGCTATCCCTTTTTCCTTCGCAGAAGTTCGTAGAAGGGGTTGGGATTCACAGGGAGTGACAGCTACTAGGAACAGGTGCATCGCTACTAGTAACAAGTGCCTTACTAGTAGTAACAAGAAGCTACTAGGAACAAGTGCACAGAAGGGAGTGACAAATACTTTTATTCCTTGCTTAGACTCCAGCCAGACCCATCTCTACACAGAAGATGACATTGCACATTGAAACACATGCGACATATTGGGATGGCTTTGGAGCACAGAACAGTACTTAGTGGTAAGGCATGATAAGGCACACTAGGTGTACAAAAAGAACCTTTTACCCGCTCTCAAGGTATGCCTAGTTACCTTGTAGCATTGGAGCTTGTTCGACCACTCCATGCCAAGAGCTGCTTCTCTCAAAGCCGGCAAACATGGCAGCAAAGGACTTCATCATCAAGCATGAACCTTAATTTGCAGCAGCTCTCTTACTCAAAGTGTTTGCTCAGGTTCCTTATTTAAGCTTTGTTTCTTCGGTCTTCCTAATTTGATCCGTTCAGGAACTTCCTTATTCTGGGTCTGTTGGCCGTGGCTTGGCAGATGGCGAACATTTGACAACTTAGTCTTTTTGACACTTCGTTGGCCACTCTGTGTATGATTCTATCGGGCTTCGTGTTCCTAGTAGCTTCTTGCTACTGGTACTAGTAGTTAGGCCAGCAGTAGTAGCATCCTTGCTCCGTTCGTAGCGATGCCCTTTGCTCGTAGTAGCTTTCTTATTTGTCGAGGTCATCACCTTTGGTTTAGTTTGTCCAGCTCCAGGTGCACCCATCGTTCGACACAAGGAAACATAAAAAGGAACTGCAGACTCTCGAACGTCGTCGAATCCAGCTCTTTGTGACTAGGTGAATCATTGGATGGCATTCAAATTGGACGTTTCCGCTTGCCACAGGTCACATCGATTTTGAAATGGAACAAAACAAAAACACAAACAGAAACAACTTTATTTCTTTATGTTGGCTGTTTTCTCAGTGTTTCTGTTTTGTTTGGACGAAGGTGGCGGTGATTGTCATTTTCATTGTCAGCGGCCTGTGCTTGGACTCGATCTCCGAATGCTTGCAATACAAGGCGGAACTCAAAAGGGGACAGCACCCAACTGCAACCAAATCGTTCCACACCTTCCGCACCGTTTGTTGAGAAGTGGTTCTCCCTGTTGTCGCGTTCCGTGTCCAGTGGCCCACTGCACCGCTCACAAAGTGCTCCATCCGCTCCACGGAATGCTTTGCGCCATGCTCTACAATTTCCTTCTCGCACGACTGCTCTCTCTACTAGTAACAAGCGCATTACTAGTAGTAGTAAGGGCATTACTACTAGTAGCAAGAAGCTACTAGCTAGAAGCTTCCTTGGAATCGTTTCACCTGTAGTAACAAGAAGCTACTAGTTACTAGTAGCAAGAAGCTACCAGTATATAACATGTTTTAAAAGCAGAATGCAAGCGTCAAAGTCCGTGTGACTCTAAGCAGATGTGTTTTTTCAGTTTTTCGAGTCGAGCGCAAGTGAGTGGAGTGCTTTGCAGACTGTGGCAGTGCGGTGTGTGTTTTTTTTTGCTTTGGCCTCCAACCTACTAGCGTCCTTGCTCCTAGTAGCGATGCTCTTTGCTCCTAGTAAGGTCCTAGTAGCATCCTTGCTCCTAGTAGTCAGGCCAGGAGCCCCGATCGTAGCGTCCTTGCTCCGTTCGTAGCGATGGCCTTTGCTCCTAGTAGCGTTTGAGGCTCTAGTAGCTTCTTGTTACTACTAGTAAGGCACCTGTTACTACTAGCGTGGCACTTGTTCCTAGTAGCTTCTTGTTCCTAGTAGTGATGCCAGGAGCCCCTAGTAGCTTCTTGTTACTACTAGTAAGGCACCTGTTACTACTAGCGTGGCCCTGACTCCTAGTAGCTTCTTGTTACTACTAGTAAGGCACCTGTTACTACTAGCGTGGCACTTGTTCCTAGTAGCTTCTTGTTCCGTTCGTAGCGATGGCCTTGCATATCGTGAAGAAGCGAGGTGGCAATTCTCAGTACATGCTTTCTGGCAGAGCGTGGGGTGCTTTCCGAGTCGGGCGAAGTGACACGCACTGGCCTGGTCACTTCAGACTTTCTGCCATTTTGCCATTCCCATGCCATCGTTCATATCTACACGCACTCACAGTTCGTCTATGACTTGATATTCTACTCGACCAGCCCTAAACACGCTGTGATTTGCTGCAGTCAGCCAAGTTATACTTTGCGTAAAGGCTTGGCCAGATCTCTTTGCAGTTAAATCACACTCCAATCCCGCCAACCCTGTGTATGCCGTCCGAGTACATGCCGAGACTCGAGAAATGTTCACTTCATCTCTTTCTCTTTTTCCCTAGGTTTTTACTATTTGCTGAAGAATCGCGTGCAAAAAGTGCCGAGTTGGTCCGCGTTGGTGCAATGGCTGACACTTCGTGAGGCTTTGATATTGAGCATCGTGCTGGTTCTTGGCGTGACCCCATTGTTGGCTTGGCCGATTCTGCATTTTGGGTTGGAAACTCAGCACGTTTTGGAAGACGCAAGTTGCGCCCAGCACTGAAATGAGTAGGGAGCGCGGCTATGCATGGCATTGCTACTAGGTTGGAGGCCATCACTAGTAGGTTGGAGGCCATTGCTATTAGGTTCAAAAGTAGGGCAAGCAGCACCGTTATGTTTGTTCATATTTTGGGAGGCACGGCTATGTTGAAGAGAGCTTGCTGCAGGAGACCGTGATTGAACTTGCCAAGTGTCCCAAAACCACAGAACTGCATTTCCATGGAAAACACCGGATTATTGGAACCAACCTTTAAATGAGTTTATGTCCAACTTTTAGGTTGGAGGCCATCGCTCTTAGGTTGGAGGCCATTCAATTCCACATGTTGCCTTGAGGGCCTTGCGGTCTTCTGTGTAGTGCCGACCACTCTCTCGTCTGGTGTGACTATGGTAACACAAGCCAAGGCAGGATATTTACAGAGTCTATAGTCTACGGGCAGTAGCGGTGCCGTAGCACATGTCGGACAGGGCAACGTCTCCCTGGCTGTTCTGCTTACCACCATTACCAATCTTCTCGGTGCTTGGGTTCAAGCACAGCAGCTTTTATTACAGCACACTGAAGCTGAAGGAAGCTGATTGTTTGTGCCCACAATTGGAAGGAAAAATGAAACATGCAAGACGGTCCAGCTTCTTGCTACTAGTAGCGATGGCCTCCAACCTAATAGCAAAAAGAACGTACTACGAATGGCCTTCACCCTTGTAGCGATGGCCTCCACCCTAGTAGCGTCCTTGCTTCTAGTAGCGATGCCCTTTGCTCCTAGAAGCTTCTTGTTCCTAGTAGTAAGGCCAGGAGCCCCTAGTAGCGTCCTTGCTCCTCGTATTCTTGCACCAAGGTGTGGGAACCATGCCGTGGTCAGTCTCGAAGATATTTGCCGCTTCAGTGCCCATCAAGCCTTCAGAGATGCTTTTTGAGCTCATATGGCTCCCTGATTGCACGGCGAGAAGAAAAAAGACGAGTCAAAGAAGAAAATAGGCAAACTGCAACGCATAAAGTTTCCCACCATGGCAGTGCGTGACCAGTGTCATTCCGCATGTATACACAATTTACACATTTGCCTCCATTCTGTGACAGTGTTTTGACAAAAGGGTCACAAGAACACTTGACTTCCGAATTCGCCCAGACTTTGCTGTTACATTTTTCCAATGAAGCATCGCAAAGCTCTGGAAACTATCTGTGGCAAGCACTGTCAGTAGTGCTTGTGCAAGTCGTTAAGGCTAACCTTAGTTCCCTTGATTGTGGGCATGCTCCTTCGCGAGGCTCTTGAAGATGTTTCAAGGTGTTCCCTTCATCGTTGTTCTTTGCTTTACCTTATTTTTCACGTTGCCAGGTCACACCAGGAGCAAAATCTTTTGCAAAGACGAACAAGAAAGTCTTGGGGCTTTGCCAGAACTGGTGGGGCATTTTGGATATGTTGTTGGACCGTTTGTACTTAATTTGCTTTGCTGTCATTGATTCACTTGTGAGAATGAGTCAATGACTCCAGTTGTATCCTCCTGGTGGTTCTGCTAATGACTTCCAGTGCTCAGCCTAAGATTATCTCCACAGATGTCCGCTGCTCAGACAATTCCATGGAAGGCCATGCTCAGTTTAAGATGTACCTTTTTGATGCCATTCCAAATGTCCCTCTTCACTGTGTTTCGCGTTCCTTTTTTGGGCAAATGAAGACTTGGACCTTTTGTTTGCTCTATTTGTTGCTGATTTCATGGTTTTTTGTTTCGGATTTGTCTCTCGATTCCGAAGCAGTCCTCCGAGTCTGCCGACTTGTCCATGGCTCTTGCAATTGCTGCTGGCATCCACTTGGTTTATCGAGTGGTGGGCCGCCCTGACACAGTTGCAGGGCTACAATCTTTCAGAGTTCTCGTTTTGGCTTATTGTGTGTTCTTTTTGTCAAAACAGCAGAGCAAGCAACACATACAGGATCATACATCCATACACGGTCAACCACCCCCCAAACAACATAGTCTAAGAATCCAGTCCAACCAACATTCCAAATCTTTACCAGACAAGTTGAACCATATCCAATTCTAGGACGCACTGACTGTCGTCAAGTCATTCGTCAATGTGGAATTGGAGGCCATCGCTATTAGGTCGGAGGCCATCGCTCTTAGGTTGGTGGCCATTTCTATGAGGTTGGAGTGTAAGGGGGGTTCTTTAGCCCTTGTATGGCTAAGTAGCAATAGTAGTTTGCAGAGGTCGATCAAGCCGCCTGAATGTTGCATACTTATCCTACCCCCAAGGTTCCTCTTTCTTGAAATAGAAGCAAACGTGTGAGGACTTCATTTCTTGCAAATATTCAGAATGGAAATGGGACGTAGTAGTGTTTTTTTCAATTTGTAGATCTTGCAAGGGTACTAGACACAGCATGACAGCGCACGCAGGCTTTACCATGCCTCCATTTCACAAAGTTGTATACGTCTTGCAACGACACAGACTACACTAGAGAAGAGAAAAGAGTTCCAAACTTCAAAGCGGTTGACATGAAATTCACGCTGCAGATGCTGTCGCAAAGCTACCTATGCATACCTCCTCATCGAGCCTAGTGTATTTTGGACGCTGAGATCCCGTGGAAACATTTGCAAAAATTTTGAATACAGAGGAGACATTCACTGGAAGGTGACAGTGGTGAGGCACAGCAGGCGCAGCAGTTGGTGAGCCTCGAAGTGCAGATTTCGTGGCAAGCGCAGCGCTTTGTGAACCTCGTATGTGCGTGAATCTGTTTGCTCCCATATGTGTGCTCACTCACGCCCGCGTGCTCTCCTGTGTTTGCTCACATGTGTGCTCTCATGCGTGTGCTTTTATAGGTGTGCCCTCATTTGTGTGCTCTCACGTGTGTGCTTTCAAACGTGTTCTCACAAGTGTGGTCTCTTATGTGAGCTCTCTGTCAGTGCTCTCTTCTCTCATATCTGTGCCTTTTGTGATCGCATATATGTGTGCTCGCATGTTTTTGCTCACATATGCTCTCTCATGTGTGTTCTCTGGAGTGCGCTTATTCACTTGTTCTTATGCTTAACACTGTTTGATACCTTTTGTTATTGTTTTTGTGCACATTTGTTGAATATTAGGACACACTAGAGCATGCATGTTTAAAGCGTTTGTTTCATGTTCGCTCCGCGTCCGTTGGCAGGGTATTTCTCGGCCACTGCTGCTGTCCTGGAGCCTCGCGAATGGGCAGTGGATCTCAGTGGGGAGTAAAGGCCAAACAGAGAAAAACGGAAACAAGAAGCATCAAAACGAAGATAACCATGTGAAGAGAGTTCAATGGAAGAAAAAACAACATCAAAACATAAGCAGACTTTGTCACCATCCACAGGTGACAGTGGTCCTCATGTCTAGTCAGAAATCACTGCCTGTGTGTGTTCCGGCCTTGGTGTCAGAACTGATCTCAGAAAACATGAAATCTGCTCATTAAATCTGTATAGTAGTAAGGCCAGGAACCCCTAGTAGCGTCCTTGCTCCTAGTAGCGATGCCGTCTCTGTTCGTAGCAAATCCGTAGGCTTAGCTCACGCCAAAATCGGCTCCGAGGTTTCGGTGCTCTCAGCCCTGCCAGAAGATTTGCGACGAAATTCGGGGCCGAACCAGCTTGATTTGTTTGTCGAACACCAGGAGCTCTGTTCGTAGCGTCCTTGCTACTAGTAGCGATGCCAGGGGCCCCTAGTAGCGTCCTTGCTCCTAGTAGTAAGGCCAGGAGTGCCTTGTAGCGTCTTTTCAATACTTCAAATAATAGCTTCTCATTCAACCAAATAGCGATGGCCTCCCTAAACCGATAGATGATTGCGAACGATTGCATGGGCTTGAGAAACCACCAGAGCTGTGGGAAGTGCACTGTGGCGGTGCAGTGCTTCTGAACTGCAGAATGGGCCAAACGTAGAACTAAGCAACGAAGAAGGAGAAACCATTGTTACTAGTAGCTATTTGTTACTAGTAGCAATGGCCTCTACCCTATAGCGATGGAACTAAGCAATGTTTTTTGTCTCATCATTAAAAACAAAAAAACAAAGAAACATATCAATGACGACCTGAGAAAGAACCCAAGATCAGCCAGGCAACATCATCAAGGGGACCACAAGCTCAAAGGCGTTTGCACCGGAATGTGCAACAACAAGAAACATACAAAATTGACACCTGCTATAAAGAATTAGCTGCAAGGAAAGAAACAAACGACGACCACCACCACCACGACTACCACCACGATGCACCACAACCACCACCACAATCGCAACCACTACAATCGCAACCACCACAACCGCATTGGCAACCGCAACCGCCATGGCAGCCACCATAAGCTTCAAGAGCAGCAACAACAAGAAAACCTGACAGAAGCAACGTTACATGCAATGCGGGAGCAATAGCAACTCAAAGCTGTCATGATGACGAGCATTATGATCATTTTCATGATGATCAATCAAGCACCAAAACAACAGGTTGTCAAAACGACCACTGACCCAGAAGAGTGTGGGCAGAGCGAGCGCATTGATCGAGACAAACTGCATCTCAGCGTTTGCTGATTACATGCCCTGCACGTTCGCACGTTCCACGCGGGGCGTTCGAGCAATCCACAACACTACGACACGTGGCGTGTGATGCCAACACAGCGCTGTCGTGTACCTGGCGCAATGGCTTCTAACGTGGTTAAATGCTGTGGCAGTTGATGGTGCCATACTTCCTTGGACATTGCTACAGTTTTGCCAGGTTGATGATTGTGCCCTGCATCATGGCGCATGCTTCACAGCTTATCATAGATTCCATCCTGGCAGTTCGTCAGAAGCTCGGGTGCCACTCACACAGCAATGGACTGGAAGGGAGTTCTTCGTCAGGATGGGAAGTTCAAGAGGAAAAGAAGGCCAGCAAAGGGCATCGCTACTAGGAGCAAGAACGCTACTAGGGGCTCCTGGCCATACTACTAGGAACAATGTTCGCTACTAGGAACAAAGGGCATCGCTACTAGGAGCAAGGACGCTACTAGGTTGGAGGTGGCCATTGCTAGAAGGTTGGAGGCTATTGCTATTAGGGTGGAGGCCATGGCTATAGGCTATAGCTGAGTAATGCCGTTGGCGTAGGCAGCGAGCACGTGTGCCTGATCAGTAGCTGTCCAATTGTTGCATTGTTGCACGTGGCCAGGCGCCTCTTCTAGCTTCATGACACCGGTTCTGCAACGCTCAGTTTTCGGCACTTTTGAAGGGGGCCAATGTATGTCACCAAGAAGCTATTTGTGCTGCAGATGGTGAATGCTCACGTACAGTGCGCTCACTTCTGCAGTTGCAGTGCGTGATTTTCCGTACAGTATGGGATCAAAGCGAGTCCTTACCAACGGCGTTCAGCCGATACACAAGGACGAGGATCGAGAAACAACATTGCTTCTTGTTACTACTAGTAACAAGTGCCACGCTAGTAGTAACAGGTGCCTTACTAGTAGTAACAAAAAGCTATTGTTTAACTTAATTCTAATTCTAATAGCTTCTTGTTACTACTAGTAAGGCACTTGTTACTAGAAGCGATGCACTCGTGGTGCAGTCTGCCTACTCTGAATGCACATAGAGACGAAGAGAGTCGGCACCAGAGTGCTAGCCAGCATCGACCAGAAATATTGCCTTTGAAGATGGGCTGCTCAAGAAAGGATGCTTTAGACTCTGTAGCTTTAGGCAACTTTGCGAAGAATTCGGTGCATTCTTTTGATGGGCAATGGGCATGTGTTGCGCAGGGTGGCTCTCATGCATTAAATCTGTCTGCCAAGTTGACATGCTAAGTTGTTGCAAACAATGAGCCATTCAACTTTACTTGTTTCTTAAGCAAGAACTTAGTTTGGAGACCTGAGGCCCAAGAGATTTATTCCGATTTCTCCACCAATGAAGATCGCAATTACACGAAGGTCTACAGTCTTGTGCCAGAGGTGCCTGACAGGTGCCACGGGCGAAAATCCAACTGTGATATCTTGAAACTGATTTGATTCTGTGAGTTCAGATTGGTGCAAACTCTTGTGAAACTGTTACTAGTAGCGTCCAAATGAGAACAACATGACGCTGTTTTCAGGTACCGAAGCCATAGACGCTTTGACAAATTTCGGGTTCATCGAGGGGCCACACGCCCTGTTTGGGCTGTGGCCGTTGCAGAGGCGCAGCCGGCGCAGCCGGCGCAGCGTTCGTTTTTCTTGTTCAGCTATTAATTACAACCTACAAGCGATGGCCTCCAACCTAAGAGGGAATGGCCTCCGACACACCTGAGAATGACGGGCGAAAGAATAAACGTGATAGTTTGTTTGGATCCATTGTTTAGCTTGAATAACACCGCTTATTGTCATCTCACTTGGTTCAGGCTTGGACACCGGTGACTTCCTTCTCCTTACTTTCCTTTTCTCCCGGTAGTTGCCGGCGAGACAGCACCTAAGAATTCCGCATGCATGTGACCGTCAAAAATCAGATCACATGGGTATCACGGACATATCAAGAAAAGCCAGTGGAATCCTCTGTGTTGCCTCATCAAGCAAGGAAGAGTCAGAAGTCCATCCTGCACCTTCGTCTTCCAAGACTTGTCCTCCTATGCAAGTTTGGCCGTAGTGGCTTTCGCGTGTCCTTGAAGGATGATCTCGCATCTGCTATTCGGTTGGAGGCCATCGAAGGATGCGCATTGAGTCTCCAGATATCTCCAGATACCAGCTTTAGTATCAAGGCTTCGTCTGATGGGTTGATGATTGCCAGTTGTAAGTGATCACCCACGTGGATACCAGATGGGGCACCCAGGCGGATGGCACACTGGCCACTGGCTTGGCCACTGGCCGTTTCGCACGGCTCCCACCAGCCACCCCGGGAGTGTGGAGCATTTTGGTCTGACAGCTGGGACAAGTCGTGAGGGTAAACAAAGCGAAGGCTCTCAACACTGGGGGTGACTTTGGCATGCTTTCCCATATAGCCTCTAACCAAGCATCTTCAACTCTGGACTACCTGGTTTGTGCTTCAACAGGTGTCTCAATCAGGATCATTTGGCCCCTCTCCGGCTTTGACAACCGAAGGATCGCCCAATGACGACTGATGTATGTCGTCACTGATGGCGAGACAAGCCGGTTGGCCATCGCAAGAAAAGAAAGGGAAGAACGCCGGTCTAATATAGTTTGCTCCGTTCGTAGCTTCTTGTTCCTAGTAAGGCCAGGAGCCCCTAGTAGCTTCTTGTTCCTAGGAAGAACGGTCTTTACTTTAGTTTGCTATTGGGTTGGAGGCCATCGCAGCAGTTGAAAGCGCAGGCTGCAGGAGTCATCCGGCTCACCGACATGCCGTGTTTACACACTTCGTTTACTACTAGTAGCGATGCACTTGTTTCTAATAGCTTCTTGTTACTACTAGTACGGCACCTGTTACTACTAGCGATGCACTTGTTACTAGTAATGTGTCCCGTTCACAGCACGGAACCAAGGCCGCGCCACAGCGCATGACACACGCATGACATCGCATGAGTATTTTCGCTGCACGGCGTGCCAGTTCCGACCTAGTAACAAGTGCCACGCTACTAGGAACAAGTGCATCGCTACTAGTAACAGGTGCATCGCTAGTAGTAACAATGTTTGCTATTAGAAACAATAAGCTAGTAGCATATTTCTAGTAGCAATGGCCTCCAACCTACTTGCGATGGCCTCCAATTAGTAGCACAATCGTTTGCACTACAAAAGTTGCAAAAGGTCATGCGTCTATTCTCTATCTCCGGTTCGGTTTAAAGCCGGACATTGACGGAGTTTTCAAAAACCAACCGCGGACACAAAGTGTGTAGCTCTCTTAGACATCGGGTGCACGCTATGTGCCCCTCAAAATCATACAATATATGATACGGCGTCAGAACAGTGGTGTGATGGTGAATACTGTTACTAGTAGCGATGCACTTGCTTCTTGTTACTACTAGTAAGGCACCTGTTACTAGTAGCGATGCACCTGTTACTAGTAGCGATGTGGCAAACGTCCAATACAGTGAACGACAGAAGGCAAGGGCCTCTTAACACCAAGGGGCACCATCTTTTTGACCATTTTTGTCACGATGGAATTAGTGCGCAAAGCTGACCAGGGGTTCTTGTTGGCACAGGAAACGAAAGACCAACGATTTCCAAGATCAATTTTGTTAATGTTTTATGTTCAAAGAGGCAAAACGAAATTGCTTGCCCTCAAGACATGCCTGAGCTTACCGGCTTGAAAAACACAATGTTTTTTTTGCGTTTCGTGACTTTGTGATTCGGATGCCCATGATGCACATGTTCAATCCATGGAGGACGGCATTGCTTTCATTGACAAAACTCTTCTGCCTCCACAATTTGTTTTGTGGATGGGGAACTATCGGAAAAAAGGAGAGGGTTGTATTGTATTGGCAAAAATTTGAGGGCCCAAGTACTCTATCAGTTTGTCCTCTTTGGACGTGATGGGCAGACACTCTATCCGCTCCATCCAAATCAGATTCTAGGCAGTGCCTATAACATGTTTGCAAGACGTGCCACTGCTTCACTTACGCCACACGCTGCCCCCGTGACCCCTCTGCCCACGCAGAGCTGGCTGCCAGAGTTGCACTTCGTCACGAAATCGTCCTCTACTAGGAGCAAGGACGCTACTAGGGGCTCCTGGCCTTGCTATTAGGGGCTCCTGGCATCGCTACTAGGAGCAAGGACGCTACTACAGACTTCTTCGGAACTTCTCTGAACAGACCTGGTGAACCCGTGGTGACCTCCGAATCGGATCGATTCCCGATGAAACCTGATGTTCAAACAGTTTAAACTCTCAAACTTTGGAGAGCGGGCCGCCATGGAGCCTGTGTTGTCGTTTTCCAAACTTTGACAGTTCCTTTGAGCATGTTTTGGAAGCTGTTTCGATTTAGTTTGGGACCATCAGCTGCGTCAGCTGTTTGATTCTGAGCCATGACAGCTACACTTGCTCCGGAAAGGAACATACAATTTACTGAATTCAAGAGACAACACTTTGGTGAAGAATAGGCAAAGGATGGTGCCATCCAAAGTCGATTTGGCGAGAACGGGGAGGAAGTTAATCCCAGTGATCCCTTTAGACCGCATCTTGCGGTCCTTGCCCCTAGTAGCGTCCTTGCTCCTAGTAGTGATGCCAGGAGCCCCTAGTAGCGAACATTGCTCCTAGTAGCGATGCCCTTTGCTCCGTTCGTAGCTTCTTGCTCCTAGTAGTAAGGCGGCTTTTCAATCTTGCTGAATCCGATGTCTTGCGTCGCCTTTGCATTTTCCAGGTGAACATGATGCTGGCTGCAGCCACATCTGACCATGAGGCCTGGCATGCATGAAACAGCCAGCACAGCCAATGGCACAGCCAATGGCACAGCCAATCATGGCGCAGCTTTTGAATCATCATCGCCCCTTTTTTTGAATTGTTGTATTGATTTTCTTTCTTTAGACCCTTTTCTCTTCCTTGCTGTTCGAATCGAAAGGTGCACCTTTGGGATTTGGACACGATGGAGCTGAAGGTGCGAGAAAATTCGGCAGCTGAAGCGGCAAGCGAGAATCGGTCCACAGGTCTCTTTGAAGGGGCACACGGACCAAGTGTGGGAGGTGAAGTTCGCTACAAATGAGCCGCTCAGAGCATAGTGCCAGCCATCGCTAACCGCTAGTAGGTTGGAGGCAGAGAAAGAATATATAAAGACAAGAAAAACACAAGAAAACATTGTCAGAGACGCATAAATATTACGCATGCTCAGACCAAGCAGAGCTTAGGGCCGTATCGGGCCAGCCTGTCGAGCAACTGCCGATCCTTGAGGACAACCCTAGCTTCGGCCAGCAGCGACAAGACCATCCGGCTTTGGGCACTATCCTGAGGGCTTAAGTGTGGCATTTGACAAGCCACATGGTGCCTTACTAGTAGTAACAAAAAGCTTCTAGAAACAAGTGCCTCGCTAGTAGTAACAGGTGCCTTACTAGTAGTAACAAGAAGCTAGTAGTAACTTTTTCTAGTTCATTTGCCATAGGGAATTACTATGGAGGCCATCGCTAGTAGGGTGGAGACGATGGCTTCTAGATTGGAAGCTATCAGTTAAAGTGTGGAACAGCTTGTCTTTGCGTCTTTGCCAGGATGCTCAGAACGGAAGTCCTCTTGGCGTGTTGCGTGGTCATAATGCTGCTATCAGGCTCGGCTTCGGTATTTTGCTGTCTTTAGGAAGGACGCTACTAGGTCTTTTTCCTGCAACATCAATTGCCGTTCTTCCATCAGATTTAGTCTTTAGGAGCGATCGGACGCTACTAGGGGCTCCTGGCCTTACTACTAGGAACAAGAACGCTACTAGGGCCTCCTGGCATCGCTACTAGGAGCGATCGGACGCTACTGGATCCCTCCTCATGAAGAGATCTAGTCTTGGGGATTCCTCCGCATTAT